TGGTCCTCATTAACAATAATACCCACACGTAAAGCTTCTATTCATAGGCGCGTATCACATAATACCAGTTAATAGTCCTTTTTTTTCTCTTCTATCTTGTGTAACATATTTAAAAACTACAAGTTATGTATGTGTGGAACCGTCATGGCAATGCATCTATATGCATGGACAGAACAGGGCGGTGGAAAGGGTAATTCAACTGAGTTTTGAATCTACATGTACTTATTTCTTATCTGAGCATGCGCAAACATGGTAGCTGTTGACAGTCATTGTTTTGACTCGTCTGAACATAGACCCTCTTTTCTGAATCATGTTATATTTCACCTTCCATGTCTGGGTGTAGGAAGTTTTGACACAACAGATACTAGTAATGTCAAGAAGCCAGAATTTAAATATTCTCCACATGTCATATGTATGAACAATTGCGTACTGACTCAGCACTTGATTAATTCATGGAAGGTACCGTTAGTACCTTCCGTGATTAATTTAATAATTTGAGTAATTAAAACAAACGAAAAATTACTTGATTGGAATTTGGTGGGAGCGAGACTTGAAAGAAAATCTTTTTTGAGTAAACCTTACATGAGCTTTTACTAGTACATGTGATGAGTAACAGATCACCTTACACCGTGAAGCTAGTTTAGCCATACAATGTGACACACTCAAATATCACCACAGTCACAGTTACTAAAAAAGAACCGTGCCACAGTATAATCAGACAAGGATAACGAATTGAAAGTCATAGTGCTTCGCTATACGAGGCTATCTCATTCCCATAAAAGTTAACCCCCATAAAGAGAAACACGTGGCAATGGAAAAATAACATACTCTCCCAACACAAATTTGGTGCAACATTATTTATTTTGTATAATTGTTAATTTGATGGGCACAATATTGCATTGGCTGTATGCCTGGATAAATAGTTAGAGCTAGAGCGATAGTTAAAACAAATATGGAAACTTCATGTGTGTGAAAGATAGTAAAATATGATTTGAGTCACAATGGATATCGACTTATCATGCATAGTAACTAAGTTATATCGTGGAACTCAACATTTACAATCATGAATTGATTCAGTTTATTCCAGTTCATGGCTGCATCCTGAATTCATAATTATATTAAAATTACAGCAGGACTAT